CGTCGGCGGGCGCTCGCGGCCGCCGACGACGGCCTGGAGGCGAGGTCGCGGCACTGCGCGGGGAGGTGCAGACTGCACGGCGATGCTTCTCGGACGTCGTGGACGGCGAGCGGGCGGACCGCACCAAGGCCATCGCGCCCGGGCTGGTCGCCCTGCTGCACGGCAAGATCCCCGCGTCCGAGCAAGGCTCGCGGTGGAGCGTGGTGCTGCCTGCCGTTGCTCCAGGGGTGCCCGAGCGGCCGCGGCGCGCGGCTCCGACCCGCGCTGGCTCCAGAGGTCCGCTGGGCCGAAGCCGCGGCAAGGAGAGCGGCTCGCAGCCGAGGCTCGCGTGACAGGCGCTCTGGCACGCAGAGGGCACCTTCACAGCACAAGCGCCATGCCTGGCCAGGGGCATCCTATCCTGGGCCCCAGGGTGGTGTGTAGACGCTCCTGGCCTCGGCCAGGAGAGCGTGTGCACCATGCGTTCTGCAGATCTGGAGGTCAAGCTGCAGACCTGCGCGGCGAAGCCCGCGACACGGAGAGCAGCAGCGACGAGCAGCGGCAGCCCGCAGCCCACTGCCTGGGCTCGTGTCGGCAGTGCCCGGCCCACCTCCAGAAGGCCCGCAGCAGCACTCGGCGGAGGCACGGCGCGGACGTGTGACATCGCCCCTGTGTAGCTCCTCGGCGGTGCCTCACGGGTCTGGCGAGTGGAGCTGCAGGAGGGCCCGCGGGCGGCGTCCAGCCTGGCCTGGTGGCGGTCGCGGCAGGCCATCGCCAAGGCGTGGGTGGCGGGCGACGTCGAGTGGGCCCCGAAGTCGGGCGGTGGTGCTTCCTCTGTGTGGACCGCCTCTGACATCTCCCTGCAAATGGTGGAGGCAGTCGAGGCCGTCGCCGGCAAAGCCCCGCCCTCGGTGCCCAAGTTTTCGAAGGGCCCGCCCTGCTGCCGAGCCGGAGGGAGAATTTTCTTGGCCGAGCAAGGGCCCGCGGCATGGCGAAGGGGTGCTCTATATTGAGTGCATGACGGCCGCAGCAGAGGCGCTGGGCCACCCTGTGACCTTTGCCGCTGGCGAGCCGGCCGCGGCGAGTGACTGACTGCGCAGCCTGCGCAGCATGGCTGGCGGCCCCCAAGCCCTTGATCGCGCCAGTCCCCCTACTCCGCCTCATCATCCTCCTCGTCCCAACCATCCTCCTCCTTCTCCTCCTCCTCCTCCTCCTCCTCCTCCTCCTCCTCCTCCTCCTCCTCCTCCTCCTCCTCCTCCTCCTCCTCCTTCCTTCCTTCCTTCCTTCCGACCGCTTGACGCGCACCCACAGTCGGGCGGCGCGCCCGGCTGGGCCGCCCGGCACGGGCTCTTACTTTTCCCGCAGGTGGGCCTCCTAGCGCCCAGCCCGCGGCTGCTGCCCCTCCCCGCGGCCAGGGGGTCTGGTGGGTGGCGCCCGACGCTGACGCGGGGGGCCCCTGCGCACCAGCCCTCTAGGGAGGGGGTCCCCCGGCGGCCCCCCCGACGCTAGGCCGGACGAGTGCCGCTCGGTGGGTAGCCTCCGGCAGCCCCGCTTGGGGCGGGTGGCTGCTCGGTAGGCACTCTCGCCAGAGCGGGGTGGCAATGCACGGGGCGACATCGCACGGCGAGTGGCAGCACTCCAGACGTGCCCAGGCCAGCCACCGGACACCCCGATGGCGCCCGGGGGCGGCCCGCCGCATGGCAAGCTTGGCCAGCGCCAAGCTTCACCTGGGCTGGCCGCCCCGGGGTGCTCACCGGCGAGCCCCGGGACTCCCCGAACCGTCCGAGCGCTCCCGGCCCCCCCCCCCCCCCGAAGGACGCCCGCCCCGGCCCCGGCACTGGGCCACCCCCCAGCCCCCAGCCCCCGGGCCCGGCCAACCGGGGCCAACAAGCTCCGGTGCGTCCATGGGTGCCCCCCGGACGGGGTCGTCAGTGCGGGCGTCCCCCGGGACCAGGGGCCTCCTGTCCATGCCTCACTCTGGCGCGGGTCAGGGCCGGGCACCAGGGCACGGAAAAAGGTATGAACAAATATTCATACCTTTTTCAGCCTGCGGCGGCTTCCATATGGGGGGGGGGAGAGAGGCGGGCCGGCGGGGGGCGAGGGCCAGGGAGGGAGGAGGGGAGGGCGGGGAGGAGGCGAGGGGGCCAGGACGACGAGGGGGCGAGGGCGGGGGGGCGAGGGGGCCGGAGACGAGTCGGAAGGGGGCCAGTTTATCGCCACTTCTTATACCTCGCTACTCCGCTCTGGTTCTATCATGGGGCCCGCGCGGCAGCCTCCGCAGCTGCCTCCTCCGCAGCTGCCTCCAGCCGGCGCGCCTCGGCGGCCGTGGGGGGGCTGCTCGCCCAGCCCGCTGCCGCCGGCCCCGCGCGCCCCAGCGCTGCCACCGCCGGGGGGCACTGCTCGGGCCCAGGTCTCGAGCGAAGCGCCGCAGAACCGGCACGCGGCCACCGCCCCGGTTGCATCGCGCAGGAGGGCGCCCTGCAAGGCGAGGCGAGCCCACGCTCGAACCTCTGGTAGCGTG